AGACGAAGCTATGCAGGAGCATATGTTCAGTCTTAAAATGCCTAGCAAATTACGGACCAGGCAATAAGTCCAGTAGCTATCTCAATCAATCGTCAGCTATAGAAAGATCGGGTTCCAAAGGCCGGATCCCTTGTGAACCAAGTCACGAAAAGTTCAAGAATCGGCAACAGGCCATGGGCCTATTTCTTCAACGCCGACACTTCTATTCTATTCTATTCTTTCTATTCTAAAATGAAGTCATGTTTTCCGTATTAATATAAAAGCATTTGATGTAAAAATCTGAAATAAATCTGTCCGCAAATTACTAATATTATCTACCTATATTTCAAATTTGAAATAAATCCGTTCTGTATTTATGGATTTATGCCTGGGTAAGTTGAAGGTGAAGCTAGGTGTGCCTCTTGAGCTCGCGCTTGAGTTCGCGCTTGAGTTCGCTAAAGTGTCGATTCGGTGTTTCAAAAGGGATCCAGCCTTTGGAACCCCATCTTTCCATAACTGACGATTGATTTAGATAGCTGCTGGACTTATTGCAAGGCTCGTAAGGTACTAGGCATTTCAAGACTGAAGATATGCTCCTGCATAGCTTCGTCTAGTTCTCTAGTCTATTCTTGAAGGCGTTCATACGCGGGCGTCAACGATGCTATCGGGGAGGCTGTTCCACATGTCGGCGACTCGAAGCGAGAAGAAATGTTGTCACATGGATGTGTTACAACGCTGTTTTTTAGTTCATAGCCATGGCCCCGGTGTTGGTTCTTGTTAAAAATTCTATACATAATGATCCATTAGGTATAAGTAACAATATCTCCAAAACTTTTTTTTTTTTTGCGAATAAGACTTTAGATACTGCAGCGGACGTGTAAATTTCGTCTTTCGGTCCTCACTTTGTCATTCGTATAATCGGTTTGGAGATTCAAAGACCCGTTGAAACTTCTATCATTTTGAGTTTTATATGCAATTTCCAAAAACCAAAACTACTCCCACAACTTAGTTTCTTCTGCAAAAATTAGTGGTTACGAATTAATATGATTTATTTCTGTTGGCTTAGTTGCTGCTGCTGGGCAAAGCTCTACTGAGCTGCTGAGCAGTTAATCAGCTACTGTCAGGGTGATCTTCTATCACCATCTAGGTTATCATACGTCACTCTCTTATAACATGTTCTGTACCCACATGGTAGAGTCACGCCTAGTGACGTCATCCCTGTTAAGGACTATATATAGCCAGAGCAGTGCATCTGTCTCTTATACACATCTAGATGTGTATAAGAGACAGGTGCACGAGTGTGCACAAGTGNGTGAACGTACAGCCCGAGCCACGTTTTTTGGGGCGAGCCATAATTTATTTTCTATTTTTTAGTCCACAAGAAAAACGTGTTTTTTAAAAAAGTATTTTTAAATATTTTATTTTCTCCTTTTTAGTCCGTTGCTGCACGGACTAAAAAGCATGACTTGACGTACGTATCGATGATACGCAGCGTCAGCGCCTGCTCGTCTATAACGTCAGCGCCCGCACGTCATACTATATATATATATATATATACTATATATAGTATATATATAGTATACTCAATTAAGCTAATTTAGGTCTCTAATTGCTAGTTTTTATGATTGTATCTGAAATTGTTAGGCGAAAATAGCCTGCATGCCGAATTTCAGATCTCTAGAACAATCAGAAGTGGGCTAATTTTTGTTGTCAATTTTAACAACAAACAAACAAACGCGAAGCTAAGCTAAGAAAAACGTTTTAAAATAGAGCACAGGCTTTCCCATAAACAAACCAAAAGGTACAAAGGTTGTCTTCATGAGAGATTTTTTATTGTGATTAAATTTGTGTAATAATATAGCGGTTTTTAGCGTTTATTAGGCCGTAGGCCTGTCGCCGATTCTAAATTATTTCATTGCAACTTTGTAATAGAATAAAAAAAATGGCATAATTGCTAGCAAGTATCCGCGTATTTATTTCTCCATGTGTTTTCCGGCTTGATTTTGTTTATACATAAACTAGATAGAGAAGTGAGAGATGTTAACATCGCAGGACATTCTCAGCATTTTGCGGTCTCGAACGCGCAACTCACTGCTCCAATTGTGCCGCATTAACCGAAACATTTACAAAATGCGAAACAATATCTCGTGTATTAGAGGATATTAATGAAGCGATGTAACAAAAGTTTTTAATTGTAAAACCTATTAAACTCGTCCTACATCAACAAAGTTAGCACCCTGTGGAATATATTCAAATTATGATGATATAATGTCTTGCGTTTTCCATATTTTAAAGACGACCATCTGACGTGTCAGGATCAAAACAATACCCTTGCCGCTCCAAAGAGTTTTGGTCTACAAGTACAAATTTATGCTGATATCAGTTCACGGAATGAAGAAAGACGAAGAACATGGTAAGATTAAAAGTAATTTCATATATAAAATGAATACATTATGTTCGACTGTTAAGGGAAGTATTTGTATGTGCTGTTGGAGTGTTTGGGAATGGAGTGGCGAGGCGCTGTCAAAAAATGTATTATAAATCTTCGGAAAGTTTTAGCCTTCAAAAAATAAATTGAAAAATGGAAAAAATTGAAAGACTCCAAATAAATTGAAAAATGGAAAAAGATAAATTGAAAAAAACTTGTCAAAAGTATGTTTATTGATTACAAGTGCTTTTTTTGTATGTTAATTGTTAACACATTAAATTTGGTGCAAGTCTTGCAAACCTCAGAAGTTGTCTGTGTATTGGTTCTGGGATATATGCAAGTTAAATGTTTGTATGATTGTTCAATTTATGGGCATAATATTCTAGCACAAAAAAAAACTTTATATATCCTATTATAGGGTCTCATACCTATTCTCTCTTGTGTTTTATCAAAGATCATTGATTTGCTCTATACTCAGTCTATAGTCTATTGTTTTGCCCAAGATTTCTTCCTAGCCTAATTACCTAATCTGTATTGGTTTATTGGTTATTGGTGGGGCTAATTCTAAGTTTTTTTTGTCTAAGGTTGAATCTAATATCTAGTGTAGAACTTGGAATGTCTGACAGAAGTCTATAAAATTACAGATAAGAATAACCAGTTTACAGGTAATTTTTGAAAATTTGAGGTAAAAATTACCTTTTTTTGTTATTTTTGACCAAAGAAATTAGTTGAAAGGCAAAAGCCAATTGAATAGGTGAAATTAACTAGATTTACAAGCATTTTTTGTCCCATTTACAAATGGCTTGTGTCAAAATTTCCAATTAGGGACTCAGGATGGAATTCTAATTTCAAAGGTTCATATATTATTTTGATCAACCAAGACCACTTTTTCTATCCAACATGGTTATTTGAGGCAAAAAATGAACTTCTTAAAGGCTTAAAACACATACGCTAACTTGCTCAGTTTCTATAAAGTACCTACTACCTAATCACTTGGAAGTTGTAAACCTGCACCTTTCACTCAACAATTAAAATTAGACTTATAAAAAAGTATTAGTTAGTTGAAAATTTGTCTCTTAAGTTGACCGCAATAAACTAAACTTCATTAAGTAATTATAACTATGCTGCAAAGCAGAGTTTTCTATCATGCACACCAAACACGCAATTCAGAGTTCAGACGAACAGAACTACATAGTACATATCACGTTGGCTAATGTGCTACTGAATTAAATAGGTACCTAGCTTCTTTCCCGCTGCCGGTGCATAATCTAGCGGGTTGATCAATTGTACTTAATTTGTATACGATTGTATACGAATTAACTAATCATTTGTATACCTAGTGCAAGAGAATGAATAATTATGTTGTTTCTGATCAAACGAACGAAAACTTTTTCTGTTTCTGATCAAATGAACAAAAACTTCTGATCAAACAAACAAAAACTTCTGATCAAATGAACAACAACAAACTTTTTGAAGATAATTCTGAAATCATAATGTCTATTGAATTCTAATATGGATCGTTAATTTTAACATCGTATTTCCAAAAATCAAGTATTGCATTTCTTTTAATTGAAAAACATTCTTTTACATAAAAACAAAGAATTTTTTCCTACAGCTCCTCAGGAATGACAAATGAATGCTCCTCATATTGACAAATGACATCTTACTCTTATAGCTAAAAATTTTAAATTGAAGGATGTTGTCATTTCAAAGACTCCATTGATTACAGAACTTTAGTTTTCGGAAGTGTATTCAAGAAAAGTTTCTGAAATAGTTGGAACATTTCCATTATCATTCTGAAATAGAAGCGTCATTTCTGTTCTTATATATAAACAGGATTAATTAAATACCTATCAAATACATCCAATGTCATTCAATTTGTGATGTACGGTATGAAAGACAGTTTCACTTTGATTCCTATGATGCTCATTTTAACCGGTTGAAGCTGTAGAATTAAATTAAATTAAAAAATTAAATAATATTAAATTTTACTAAATCAAAATTTATTATTTAATACACTAGATGGTACATGCTGTAGAATTAAATTCTATTAGAAAAATGTTGAATTAAAAATCTGATTATATTTTTTAAATTAAAAATTAATTTTTATTGAATTAAATTGTATTATTAATGCACTATATGGTACGTGCTCTATGTTTTATATAATGAAATAGTTTTCCATGTTAAACAACGAAAATTTTCTAAAAGACACAAAACGTTCAAAAACGCGGGATGGCAGACGAAATCATTCAGAATTTGAAGTGAATTTATTGAGATAAATTCAACATAATAGGGCAAAAAATGGAAAAAATTCAAATCTGGAATGTATAAATAGGTTTTTCTAATTAAAAAAAAAACTTTCAATCATTTAAATCTCAGAATGGAATGTGAATCAAATCTATTTATTGTGAAATCAAACTAGACACAACCAAAACATAAATGTGTGACACCGTCTTGTGATAATAAAACAGAAAACACCATGTGAATGTACGCAGTGAAAGAGTAGCAGTTTACCTCATAATTATATGTGAAATAGAAAACTTTGTGGGTGTTATCCAATCGTGAGAATTTTTTACAAAGCTGGATGTGTTTTATTTTTATTTTAGAACGTAATTCATTGCAAAAATGTGTCCGCTAGCCTACAGATAAACGACTAGTTAACTTGATTAGTTGTTGGCAACAAGGGATTGGATTTCAAACCATGCGTGATTTCGGAAGCACAGCAGTTCTAATGAGCTCAGTTCATCAATTTTCATTGCAGTGGAAGGTGGTGTAACGCGGTGGTAGGGTTGGTATTTCGATACGTTTTCTTATATTGACATGAGAATATATTACCTATACAGAATTCCACACTGATTATTTAGGGTGCACTGGCCTGGGTGCAGACCATGGTGCAGAGGGTTGATGCAGCAACAGCAGCATTGCCAATATATGGGTTTTTAAGCCCTAAGCGTTGCCGGGTAATTTTAAGATGCGTCGCTGGGTAATTTTTAATGAAAAGCCATTTATGCTGAGTAATGAAAAACTATTTACAAGCCATGAACTTATTTACAAGGTTGCATGCACGTGTTACTCCAAATAACTAATTTTACCCTAAAAACAGTCCGATTGTACAGCAAGTGTCAACTGAACATGTGATAATGCAGTCTGACCACTCTAATGTGACCGCAACTACGTAATCGTAAACTTGATGTTTACATTTTTTTGGTGGGAACTCATTGCAACTGATTTCCGGACAAGCTTCACTGCATACCTACTGATCAATCCAACATACCGGAAACCTGTAAGGAATTTATACAAACATAACTGCTAACAATTTTATTGAAACTCCAAAGAATAAGCTTCGGATCCAGAGAAGTAGAAAACCGGAACTGTAGTGGATGCAGTTGAGGAAACTGAAATTAGAAAAAGAAACCTTACTTAATGAATGCCAAAGCTTGAGAAACGATTTGATCAATTATGCTCAGAAATTCCAATTCAGCGGTATAAAACTTGATAGTGAACGCATATTCCCAATCTAACCTCAAATGAAATAACGCGTACAGCACAAATAATGTCGCGCTGGCTGCACTGGAGGCACAAAACACGGCAAAAGAGATGCGACGTATGAGGTGCAACGGAGGTTATACTGTAAAATTAACAGTTACGAACCAAGATTAGATTGATGGAATAATTGCTATTGTATCATATGCTATTAATCATTATGAGGATCATGATATATTGATCAAATTATGCAAAGTTAAGAATAAATATTTCAAGACTAACCTTCTAATTTATTACCGCTGGGGTAAATTGAGAAGTGGCATGAAAGCCGTTTAGAGGTAGGTGTTTTGAAAGTGCAATTGAGTGCAAAGGTTAGTATATTAATAAATGACAGGTCGACCCAACGTGACTCAGTTAATAAGGTTAAAGCGCCACAGGGCGTAAAGTTAATAGGCTCGAAAGCCGGCAATACTGCCAAGTTTAATTAATGCGTCAGAGACGTCTTAAAGTTGGGTCAGACCAAATAGTAACGTGGCATGCATTAACTTGATAGAGGGCCCATAGCATGCATTAATTCAAAAAGATGATAGGAAGTGAAATTGCACTCTGGTCACTGCGGGCAATACAGTACTAGAACACCATTTGAGTCACCTCCGTATCACATAAGCCAGTCAAAAGTTGAGCCCCTAATGCTTCAAAACTTCTCTCGAAATCAATACTTAATCAAACTTAATCTCTAAGGTCTCCGTTACAGTAAAACGGAACATAATTTCAATTAAATGGAACATGAATCGGTAAAATTTCTAATAAACCTTACTTTTTTTAAATAGTTGGCCGAAGACTGACAAATATATTAAATGAAAGAATTTCAATCTAAATGTGTCGGCAAGATTTTCTGAAGGCATAAATTTTGCTACTGAAGCGTTGCCAAAGATCTTGCAATATTCATCCACTCTCTGCACAGTGGGGTGCAGAAGGCCTAACCTTACCTATCTAGGCTACTGATAATCTACAGTTTATTCTATGATTGATCAAGTCAGGACTAAAGCTAAAGGGTTTATTCTTTGGAGGTTAAGGGGCCTGGGTTCATGACAGAAGTTAAAGGTTAATTTTCTTAAAAAAAGTTGAACAAAAATTTATAATTTTGTAGAGAATTTTAAGAAAATATGACAAACATATATGATTTTTTTTAGTTTTTACTAGAAAAATTAGTCAAGAGCAATAGGACTGGGTGAAATTGATCACAGCCTCACAGGTACAGGCATTCTTGCTGCATTCATGGGTGCCAATTTTTTAGTTAGGACCCACCCAGAAATAGGAACAAAAATATTTTTCTTTATTAAGCAGTAATTTAGAATGTTATAATGTGTTTTTGATTATTTTTATTCAACTTGTACTTTAATTGCTTGTTATAAATTCTGTAATATTTGGCAAAATCATCAGAAAATTACTGATAAAAGTAGTTGTTCTATTGGTTATTTGAAAATTACTGGCAAACATAGTTTTCTTAATCTTTACAAGAGAAATTTGGCAAATCCCAATGGACCAAGTGAAATTGTCATTTGTCTGCAAGCCTGGGTTCTTTTGAACTGGAAATCTCACAGCCACTAAGTCAGGCATTGCTTAATTGCTTATTACTGATTCAACCTCTTTTTTTATCATTAAATGAGACTTTTTTATTGAATGCTCATTCAAAATATTTATTTCAGGAGGGTCAAACCCTTACCAGTGCAGCGACAAGACATCTGTGCTGCAGGAGGCCCGGGTCTTCAATGAGACACCAGTGAATGTGAAGCGCAGTACTCATGTCCTGACCAAGATCTTGTACTTGCTGAACCAGGGTGAAACTCTTGGCACCAAGGAAGCCACAGATGTCTTCTTTGCCATGACTAAACTATTCCAGAGCAATGACATCATCCTCAGGCGACTTGTCTACTTGGGTATCAAGGTTGGTTGTTGAAATGTCAAGAAAAATTCTGGATAGGAAAATATGTTTGCATTAATGTTCAGGAGCATCATATGTTCATCTCCTCATCTTTAATATTTATTGCAGTGTTGTGCAGCCATTCAATGTTGAAGTTGTTGGACAAGATCAGACACATGTTATCTAGATTTAAAATTTTGTTACCGGTATGTGTATTTTACTGCTGTTCTTGTTCTTCCTTCTCAACCTCAGCAATATTATTAGTAAATTTCTCATTAAATTTATCTCCATTAAACTGGTGACATTGTAACCAAAAATTTCTGCTCTTCCTTATTATTAATTTAAATCCTTGTTCTATTTGCTTTTTGTTGGCAAAGGATATTGGATTGGTCAATTATTATTACTTAAATAAGTGGGGTATATTAGCTACTTTTAATAAGGCATATCTCAGAATATTTTGATACATTTTATCTTGAAAAGTAGAAGGAATGGAGGATTAATAAAACCTTTTGCGTATAATTAATCAAAAGCTTATTTAACCCTTTAGCGGGCAAGCATTGAAATATCCAGAAATTAAATTTTCAGAAACCATCTCAAGAAAGTAAGAAGTATTATACAATATATTGATTTATATGAATTTTTGCAAATTTTGCCTATTGAAGGTTTAAATCGCACTTGAAGAATCCAATAAATGTGGTCAGTACACAAAATTTTTCTTTATAATTAAAATTCAGTTTATGCAAATGAAAAATTAGAAAAATTTAATTTAATTAAATTTAATCAAGTTGCCAAAATAAATAAATATATATATTGATACTTCCACCTTTTGAAGAAAATGCGGAAAGAGTGTCAGTTCCATTGTCCGAGTCAAAACCTTCATTTAAATGCTCATATTTCAATTTGTGGACTTTGCAGCTGGTGATGCTATAGATAGAATGATGGTCAGATAATTAGTGATTGACTGAGGCATTATAAGGATGCCTCAGAAACAAACAGGAAGCCGTGGTGAGGCTTTTTGCGATGCGATTTCAAGTGATCATATATGGTAACTTACCCGTGAAAGGGTTAAGTAGAATTAGTGGTTAGCTTTATTATAATTAACAAACTGCATTAGTAGGATAAATGGAAAGCTTTGTATAGGATTAATGAAAACTTGATCTTTTATCTGACCTCATTCTCATGAAAAAAATTTGTCAGTTGAAAATCTTATTTGTAGACACATGTGTAGAAGTGCTGAAAAAAAATTTATTTAAAAAATTGCAATATTGTAAAGAATGTTAATTGCTTTTCAAACGATAATTCCCTGCATTAGAATAAAGGTATTACTTGGAATTTGTGTAAAATTTTATTTAGCAAATATATTTGCTGTTCAGGAATGGATTAAAATTGCCTTTCAATTTAATTTTGTAAAGTTTTTTGTTGAAGACATCAATGTATTTTTGTGTTGATGACAGGAGCTGTGCAGTGTTGCGGAGGACACCATCATTGTGACGTCGTCTCTGACAAAGGACATGACAGGCAGGGAGGACCAGTACCGAGCCTCAGCTATCCGAGCCCTGTGCCGCATCACTGATGTTAGTGGTGCTTTCTGTTGTGTGTTGTATCACTGATGTTAGTGAAGCTCTGTGTTGTTTGTTAGTGATGATTTGTGTTGATGCTAATGACCTACAATTGTCTTCAGCTTGAGGCTGCTTCAAATTTATTCTTTTGTTAAGAATTTAAATGCAAAACAAAAAAGAAGGTAAATATACCTCAGAACTTGCAATTCTTGGTGAACTTGCAATTACTAATGTTATGAGTACCTAATTGATGCAGCAATACACAGATGTAAATGCTCTCGAGTCTCATTGCATTGCTTGCTTATGAATGTTACAGCAGTTTTTTTGTGTGCAGGCATCAATGCTGCAGGCGGTTACTAATGTTATGAGTAATTGGTTGGCATTGTTTGTAATTGGGTATTGTTTTTTTCGAATCTTAGTGTTTTTTTTGTATGCAGGCATCAATGCTGCAGGCGGTCGAGCGCTACATGAAGCAGGCAATGGTGGACCGCACGTCGGGCGTGAGTAGCGCAGCGCTGGTCAGCTGCCGCCACATCGCCCAGCACTCGCCTGATGTGGTCAAGAGATGGGTGGCCGAGGTGCAGGAGGCCGTCCACAGCGACAAGTAGGCTGCTGATGTGCAGTGTGGGGTCTGGAGATGGGTGGCCGAGTATGCTGCTCGCGTCTGGTTGTACATTATTTATTTTATAATCAAAGGGATATAGTGTTGAAAGTTTTAGCTAAAATTTAGCTACAGTTTCCTTATGACCATAGCGTAGATATGACCAACTCATATACTACATATACGTAGACCAACTCATATACTACATATAGTAATTATGTAGCATAGCTTAAACAGTTTTAAGACATTATCATTTGTTTGATGTGTGAAGGAAATGCCCGTTAAATAACTGACTGTTTTCTAATAGAAAATATCTATCATAAATATAAAATTTAAATTTGAATTTAGTTTCTGCCTTTCATATGGGACAGAAAAGTGTCTATTTTTCTGCACAGGCTATTAGATCACCAGAGTTCGGCGTATGCGTTCCTTCATTGTTAACTGACTAGTGATATAAATCTGACTGTTGAGAGAATCATGATGAAACGCTCATCCTTGTCCTTGTTTAATGTTCATTACTGTTGACTATCCAGCATTTCTCATGGCATTGCAAGAGGCTACTGAACATTCATGGTTTGTGTGATGAGATGTGTTGCAGTGTGGTTAACTGTGTGATGTGTTGCAGTGTGGTTAACTGTGTGATGTGTTGCAGTGTGGTTAACTGTGTGATGTGTTGCAGCGTGATTAACAATGTGATGTGTTGCAGTGTGATTAACAATGTGATGTGTTGCAGCATGATTAACAATGTGATGTGTTGCAGTGTGATTAACAATGTGATATGTTGCAGTGTGATTAACAATGTGATGTGTTGCAGTGTGATTAACAATGTGATGTGTTGCAGTGTGATGGTGCAGTACCACGGGCTTGGTATGCTGTACCAGATTCGCAAGAGCGACAAACTTGCGGTCACCAAGATGGTCTCCAAGCTCATCAGCTCAGGCATGCGTTCCCCGTATGCCATTTGTTTGCTGGTGAGTCCTGCTACTGAAAAGAATAGTCTATTTTGTTTTTTTTTTATTGAAAGTTTAATGTTTATTCCTTCTGTCAATGATGGCAACTATCAATGATTTTTCAACGATGGCAACTGTCAATTGCCATAAAGATACAAACATTTGGCTTCAAAGAGCATTAATTAATGAATCCCTCGCCAGATCCGCATTGTGGCGAAGTTGATTGCAGAAGAAGAGAGCAGCGCTGGAGAGCGCAGCCACCTCATGGAGTTCCTGGAGTCAATGCTGCGCCACAAGTCCGAGATGGTCGTGTATGAAGCAGCCAATGCCGTGGTAGCTCTTAGCGCTGCTACCACCACTACAACCACCACCACCACCTCCAGGGACCTGGTCACTGCTATCTCCGTGCTCCAGCTCTTCCTGTCCAGCCCCAAACCTACTCTCAGGTGGGCCCTGAGGCTGTGCTATCCCTAATCACCTCTGATTATAACCTAAGTGAATGCGGTGCCCGAGTACACATGGCGGCCATCTTTATCTTGTCTGTGATTAGAGAATTTAGCTTTCATGCGCCTGACCGATCTTTTTGGTTGTGCCCTAAACTCTCGCTTACAATTCAGGACCACTGTAGTCACTCATCAATCACTATATTGACCACTATCTTGAAGAAACAGGATCACCAATGAGAAAGTTGCTCTCATCAATTCACCACGCTATCTGTGCACCTGTGCCAGTTAAGTTACTCATGCATATGGTCACATCTGTTGTTTCCACTTCGCGTGCAGGTTTGCAGCGGTGCGAACTCTCGGCAAGGTAGCGATGACGCAACCTGCTGCTGTGACAGCCTGCAACCTCGACCTGGAGAACCTGCTTCAGGACGTCAACAGGTCCATTGCCACCCTGGCCATCACGACGCTCCTAAAAACTGGTAGTGAGGGCTCCATCGACCGCCTCATGCGCTCCATTGCTGCCTTCCTCAACGATATCTCTGACGAGTTTAAGATCGTGGTGGTGGAGGCGCTGCGGTCTCTGGCCCTGCAATACCCACGCAAGCAGGCGCTTCTCATGGGGCAGCTCGCTGACATGCTCAGGAATGAGGGGGGACTGGCTTATAAAGAGGCCATTGCGTCCACTATCATCACCATCATTGAAGATAATCCTGATGCTAAAGAGAAAGGTTTGTTATCTCATGATGTAAATTTATAAATGGTTTTAGTATTGGGTGGCTTTAGTAGCTGACATGCTTTGGAAGGCAGGTATTCTGACCTATAAGACGATATTGCGTCCACTATCATAAATACAATGACAGCTTAGTGTTGCTTGGTGTATTGATGTCATGTTGATCTTTAGTTGTAGAAATGATCATAAAAATTATCATGGTATGGTTTTTAATTATAACCCAACGTTTATAAAGTTCCATCCAAACTTTGTTATTCCTTACACGAGAGTAAAATTTTGGGCGTTCTCAGGGCTGGATCATCTGTGCGAGTTCATTGAAGACTGCGAGCACACGACGCTGGCCGTGCGCATCTTGCATCTGCTAGGCAAGGAGGGGCCACGAACTTCTCGTCCCGCCCGCTACATCCGCTTCATCTACAACCGCGTCATCCTCGAGGTAAGCTTCATCTACAACCGCGTCATCCTCGAGGTAAGCTTCATCTACAGGTCATTCATTATATGGCTATTACCGAAAACTTTCTCTACTCTATGACCATTTATGCGCATCTGCATTTCTCAGAGAAACATGAATGCTTCATCAGCAGAGACCGATTGCGTCCCTGATTCCTGTTTTGCGTCCCAGAACGCAGCGATTGCGTCCCTTATTCCTGTTTTGCGTCCCAGAACGCAGCGATTGTGTCCCTTATTCCTGTTTTGTGTCCCAGAACGCAGCGATTGTGTCCCTTATTCCTGTTTTGTGTCCCAGAATGCAGCAATTGCGTCCCTTATTCCTGTTTTGGGTTCCTGAACGCAGCGATTGCGTCCCTTATTCCTGTTTTGGGTTCCTGAACACAGCGATTGCATCCCTGTTTCGTGTCCCAGAACGCAGCTATTTTGTCTCTTTTTACTTTTTCAAAAAGATTTTTTGTAGTGCTAGAAACAAACTACTACACTACTACTACTATTCCTGTTTCAATTCCCAGAACGCACTGAGTGCATCTCCAATAATTTCCATTCGTGTCCCAGAACGCAGGGATTTCAACCCTCATCCCTGTTTCATGTCCCAGAACGCAGGGCTTCCAACCCTCATTCCTGTTTCATGTCCCAGAACGCAGGGCTTCCAACCCTCATTCCTGTTCCGTGTTCCAGAACGCACCGAGTGCATCTCTAATGTCCATTTCATGTCCCAGAACGCAGGGATTCCAAGCCTCATCCCTGTTTCATGTCCCAGAACGCCGGGATTCCAACCCTCATTCCTGTTTCGTGTTCCAGAACGCGGCAGTTCGGGCGGCTGCGGTGTCGGTGCTGGCGCGGTTCGGGGCGCAGTGCCCAGACCTGCTGCCCAACATCCTGGTGCTGTTGCAGCGCTGCATGCTCGACACCGAAGACGAAGTGCGCGACCGCAGCACCTACTACCACGCCGTGCTCTCCACCAGGGACCCTGCCATCATCGCCCGCTGCATCCTCAACCCGCCCATGGTGAGTTATCCTCCAGCATCACCTGGGACTTATGGTGACGTATTAAGGACGATACGTACTTATGCTGACGTATTAAGGACGATACATAATTATGGCGACGTATTAAGGACAATACATACTTATGGTGATGTATTAAGGACGATACGTACTTATGGTTACGTATTAAGGACGATATGTACTTATGGTGACTTATTAAGGACGAAACGTAATTACGTACTTATGGTGACATATTAAGGACGATACGTACATAAGGACGATACGTACTTATGGTGACGTATTAAGGACGATACGTACTTATGGTGACATATTAAGGACGATACATATTTATGGTGATGTATTAAGGACGATACATACTTATGGTGACGTATTAAGGACGATACGTACTTATGGTGACGTATTAAGGACGATACATACTTATGGTGACGTATTAAGGACGATACATACAGTGGGGGGAAATAAATATTCGTACACTTGAAAAATCGTATTTTAATGTATGTAAGTACACAAACTGAACAGGAGAAGTGATTTATATTATGTATAGAGGCGCATTGTATTCAAAAATAGCATCAATTTCTCTATACATAATTTAAATCACTTTTCCTGTTAAGTTTGTGTACTTACATACATTAAAATACGATTTTTCAAGTGTATGAATATTTATTTCCCCCCACTGTACTTATGGTGACGTATTAAGGACGATACGTACTTATGGTGATGTACTAAGGACGATACGTACATAAGGACGATACGTACATAAGGACGATACGTACATAAGGACGATACGTACTTATGGTAACGTATCGCCCTCCAGCATCATCTGGGTCTGCAACGTCCGACATGCTTACCAAGCTTACCTAGTCTTCTTGTGCATGTCTCGTGTACTGACAACATTAAGTCTCGTTCGCGGTATGTTTGTGTGAGGTTACCTTGTTTTAGTGCGCGTGTCCTTATCTTTGTTTATGTTCTCATACACAACCTGCTTGAACTGTTCGTTGTGCTCACAGGTGAGTTACATTCCTATGAATGATAGTGCTGCAGTTCAATACTCGCAGTGTCAGTTAATAACATTAACTTGAATATCATATTTTGTACAGTTATCATTTCTGGGTGAGATATAGAGAATTTGTCATCACAACCTTTTTTGCTATTTGTTTATTGGGGTAAATGCCTACAATATGTAATTATATAGGTTTTTATTTCATAATATGATGAATTTAATAATAAAATGATATGGTTAAATAATATGCAATATCTTTGAGTTTTTTGAAGGAATTAGAATACTTCTTTGAAAGTATAATCCAGTATTTGAAGTTTGCCTGTCTTAATGTCTTGATCCTTGAAGATAGTGACACCTACTTTGGTTAGAAACGGGTTTTGGTATATTTTTAGAAATAAAATTATTACTTATTAATTAATTTAAATTGATAATTAATTAATCAATAAATTAATAAATAATTAATTAATTTAAATTTAATTATTAAATTAATCAATTAATTTTGATTATTTTTCGGTAAGTAAAAAATACTGACAAAGGAAGATGTGTGATGTCAACGTGCAAAAGTCAGCGAGAAATTTGCTTGTTTGATTCAACTGGTGAATTGAGGATTCACTTAGAAAAAATTAACGTGTCATATTGTCCAAATGGATACTCGGCTTCTCAGCCTCAGCACCAGCAGAGAACGGACGTAGCACTATTATGACCTTTTGTTGGGACAAACTGGGTCAGGATGACCCACACGGGCAAAAAGCTTTGATATCTGTGTAAAGTCTCACTCATTTACCAACTTTTACAAATCAAAGGGACTGTATATCTGCATAGCCCTTACTGGTAAAGAATGTTCCCTTCCACAGTCACGTTGTTACTCGCAACTGAGGCTAGCACTCAATTTTACTTGGTTTCAGGTGCCACAGTGTTGGCAAAATCGATAATTTTCAAATATAAAATTAATAATAATCAAAAATCGAATTATGATAATTGCCTGTTTTTTTAATTCTTTCTGCGACAATCGTCGCGCTACCTCAACAACTGATAATATAATTTGAGTTAAATCAGGCCTATTTTTACTTACGAAAATATTTGTTAAATTTTACTCGTTATCAAAGCCTTTCTTTTAATGAAAAAAAACTCATCCACAGTACTCATTACTTGTGAAAAATTTACTGAAAAATTGTACACCTTTCCCTTCAAACCTTTTTACACCTTTTCCACCTTCACCTTTCAAAGCCTTTCTTTTAATGAAAGACTCGTGCGCAGTACTCATTACTTGTGAAAAAATTTACTGAAAAATTTTACACGTCATCAAAGCCTTCTTTAAATGAAATAAAAAAAATTGTTAAATTTTACTCGTTATCAAAGCCTTCTAATGAAAAGACTCGTGCACAGTACTCATTGTCGAGCCTGGAGCGGGCGCTGCTGTCGTACCTGTCGAGCGATACGACCAAAGCGTTCGACGCGTCGTGTGTTCCCGCCGCCCCGCCACCCGCCGCCTCCGCCTCTCTCTCCTCCGCCGCCTCCTCCATCACCGCCGCCATCTCAGGCCCCGAGGACGTCACGAGCGCCGTGCCCGCCCTCCAGCAGGAGAAGAGGAGCGTCTCCATGCATGACAAGTCTGTATATTATAGTATATTATGGTATATTATAGTATATTATAGTATATTATAGTATATTATGGTATATTATAGTATATTATAGTATATTATATAACATGCATGACAAGTCATCGCACTATAGTATATTAATTATCATTTGTTCGTGGTGCAGTGTCCAACAGTCATTTTGCATTGAAATATTTTGATTGATTTCGAAAATTTCTTAAATGATGTTCCCATTCTCGAAGGATACTAGATTCATCGTCATTTAGTTGGACTCGTAGCAAGTTTTACGTAGTTCAGGTAGACTGTAGAAGATTAATTATCTCGAAAAAAACTTCTATTTGTTATATATCTCTTCATGGTTTTGAATATAATTGAATGGCTTTTAGTGCAGAAAGCGAGGTTTGTGACAACAACAAAGATCGCCGATTCAAATGTATTCCCTAAGAATTGCATACGGTAATACAAAATTTCGTTGGTATGGAAAAGTTAATTTTGCACGCATTATACGGACACTTGTTAACATTAAAGACCAATTATACTTGACTATCTCTCAGCTTAACTCGCTAGTGATCTTGGGTCATAATATCAAAAAAAAAATTTTATGTACAGGTAAAAAAAATTTTATGTACTAAGTACATGTAGCGGCATAAGCTCACATTGTACAAGTATACGTAGCGGCCGATTTTTAGTCGTACATGATTGGTGGGTTTAGCTATCAAAACCTTCAGTGATAGGCTAACGGAATAACAAACTCGTGAATATTTTTCATAATACGTCCCCTGATTTGTTTGTCAGGTACGCTGAGCGGCTGGCGGCCATCCCTGCGTTCGCGGGTCTGGGGCCGCTGTTCAAGAGCTCGGCGCCTGTTGAGCTCACGGAGAGCGAAACGGAGTATGTGGTGCGCTGTGTCAAGCATACCTTCCTGGGACACATCATACTGCAGGTGATAGTCTTCTTTTAACATAATATTTCTCCTCAATGTTGTGTCAATGTTTAAGACAATATGTCTCCTCAATGTTGTGATAATCAATCTTCTTTTAACACAATATTTCTGTTCAAGCTTGTGTGTTTTTTCATTCAAGGTTATTAATTACAAGTTTCTACCGAAAATTATAGATTACTATAGTTAATTATTATAGATTATTATAGTTAGTTACTCTTGCTAATAATACGTTGGTGGTGCATATATCAGGTATAACTGACTAGTTTTTTGGAAAATGGTCGTTTCTTTTTGATACATCCTGTATGATCATGACTATTGACAGCTGTGCGATCAGACAAGTCTGTGGTCTTGACAAGTCTTCATTTGCGCAGTTCGACTGCACCAACACACTGAACGACCAACTGCTGGAGGACGTGAGCGTCGTGGTGGAGGAGGACGGCTCCAACTGGCAGATCCTGCAAACCCTTCCATGCGCCTCTCTGCCCTACTCCTGCCCCGGCACCTGCTACGTGCTCCTCGCCATCCCTGAGGACATTATGAGCACCACAGGTACGGCCTGCCATGCGCCTCACTCCTGCCTCGGCATCAGCTACGTACGTGTCAGGATCTCGACTGTAACTGTTACTATTTCTACTGTAGTCTTTACTTTGCCGCCTGAAGTTCCTAATAAAGTGTTTGCTAATTATTCTCGACTGCCCAGGCACCTTCACCGCGTGCCTGAAGTTCCAAGTGCGCGACTGCGACCCCATCACCGGCGAGCCCGAGACCGAGGATGGCTATGGCGACGACTACACGGTAAAGTTCCTTTATTTTGTCGCGGCATTCCGCTCTAACTTTTGACTACTTAGTTATAAAACCCTTTGGCAATTTTTATTATTACCTAATTTATTATAAATTGCAATAATAATAACTATCCATAAGCTAAGATTAGCCTATTCTGGCCTAATTACTATTCCTACGGGGACCATTTCGGTCACAGAAAAACTTAATTTTACACACATACGTACCTAAAATGTAAAATAAAAAACAATTTGCTCGTATTTCTTTTTTCAGAAAATAAAGAAAACAGCAAAAAGGGGGGTACTATAAAAAACTTATGACTTTTGCAAATCACATGCTGCTATGTCGAGACACATATCATTCGATTTGTAACTAAATTATCTTGCGGCTCCAGAGCCCCGATTTTCGTTTCATCATCTTTTTTATTTTATGCGCGTTTGTCCACATTTTCCCCTCCCCGTCCTTTCATTTGTCCACATTTTTGCCCTCCCCGCCCCTCCTCCCCCCATATATAAGTCAAACCATGCATAAATCCTAGAGCTATGGTCTTGACGAATCGAATGAAAAGGTTATTGTATTCAGTAGATGTAGGTAGCATCTACTGTATAAGCGATCTTTTGAGTTAAGCATTGTAAAATCTTTGCTGCTACTGGCTCTTTTTGTAGTTATAGCGATATGAAAGAACTTTTTCTTGCTGTATAATGAAGTAAGAATTTTTCCCATCGCGTCGTAATTTGAGTAAAGGACCGTAGTCGTCCCAGGTGCGCAGGAAACAGTTCCTTAATCAGTTAACAGTCTCCATTTCCATTAATCTTCTTGGAATGAAAACGGCAAATTTCCAAGATTAGTTTATCCTCGGTTGCCTTCACTTTAGTTAGGTCTGAAAAACCCTGTTGATTTAATTGAACTCGAAACCTTGTTTGATAATTTTGCTTAAACGTGTATTTTTGTCATTATAACTCCGCTCATGTAACTGTGTGCAGCTGGAAGACATCGAGATTAGCGTGAGCGACCATGTGAGTGCGGCCCAGCGGAGCAATTTTGCGGCGGCGTGGGAGGAGCTCGGCCCAGGCTCGGAGCTGGAGGACACCTTCGCCCTCACCAGCCTCAGCTCCCTTGCTGAGGCCGTCACTCAGGTTACCAACTTCCTGGGCATGCAACCCTGCGACAGGTCCGAGAAAGTACCAGACGGCAAGAACTCCCACACTTTATACCTCGCAGGTGAAAATTCATTATTATATTCCTCCTTCATATATGAGCAAAGATGGCTTTGATTAATTATTTCCTTCTTTCAATGCTCAGAAATGTTTTATTCTTATTGGCATTCCTCAGTAACGATTGTTGAGTTTATCGGCAGTTAACATTTGTTGGTTGATACGTGTAACAAATTTGAAATTTTTCTAAGATAGAAGTTGCTGTAAAGATCTTATATCATCTTCAAGCGCTCTTGACTCCAGTAGATAGTTCATCGAGTCTCGCTAACTCAACATGATAATTGCTATCCCTTTAAACCGTTTCTTTATTCAGTAGGCAAATATTTCCCCTATGCTCCTTCCTTAACTGTTCCTGCGTTCAGATTTTGTTTGCATTCTACATGATCCGTCAAACCGCCATGAGGGACTGTGCTGTTTGCATTCTTTAGTTGTTTTGCGTTGCAGGAACATATCGTGGCGGACAGTCTGTGCTGGTGCTTGAGTAGTTATGTGTTGCAGGAACATATCGCGGCGGACAGTCTGTGCTGGTGCGTGCCAAGCTTGCGCTGTCAGACGGCGTGGCGATGCAGCTGACAGTTCGCTCCACAGACCCCGCCGTCTCAGAGGTCATCGCCTCCGCCGTGGGATAGACGGAAACGTTCGCTCTTGTTATCATTTACTTTATAAACTCTTTTTTATTGGATTCTATTTGCTTCTTAAATACAATATTTTTTGGCCTGAGGCGTTCATCGCCTGGTTGCATGCTGTTCCCACGGATCTTTGTGTATCGAAATATATAGTATCAACTTCTTTTGTCTTGTATAAGTTTTTCCTATTTCATGCGATATCAGAAGACTAGGTTGGATATAACTTTGTTATTGGTGGCCACGTCATTAAACTGGACTCGCCAATTCATTATTTACTATGCGGTCGTTAATGGAAAATTGCTTGTTACAGATAGGCAATGTTTGCATTTCTATTACATTCCTTGGTGGTCATAAGCCATTAGACTGATGACATGTTTTATCCAGCAATATTAGTAAGACCCAAGAATAAATTTATCCAACCTATTAGAATTTATTTTTTATTGATCATTCATACGTGAGAATACGCTGAGACCGTGAAAGAGAAATGGCTTACTTCTCACTGTTAAGGATATTAGAAAAAAAGTAACTTTAAAATGATAATATGACAACGTACAGAAAATGCAAAGCAAATATAAATGAAGACATCAAGCATATAAGCGGAGAACACAGTATATCGCAAGAACTTTATTGCACGCACTAAACTCAAGCAATGTATAGGCGGCTGTAGCATACTGGTATCAAGATTAAAAAGTGTAAGAAATTGTATCCAGACTCCAAAACCAGGAAGTTGATTAGTCTTATCGTTTGTATGAAATTGTATAATTAGCGAGTTTTACAAGTGTATCAGCTACAAAGTAACCTCGCATAGCAACCACCCACGAGGTTAAACGTTTTGACGGTAAAATTCAAATTCGGTTATGACACAGTTGGATGGCGGCTTTACAGCATGTCGTTGCTCGAGTTTGTCATGCAAAGAGGAATACTGGACAACCCACAAGAGAAGAAAAAACTCGTGTGCAATAATCCCGTGATCCGCTTACGTGATGCCTTGTCGAGCATAACATTCGGACAATATTATTTCCAAAAAAAACGTGAAATTCCTAGCATTTAAGAGGGATCTGACCTTCGGCAACTTCCTGCCAAAAACGGATTTCAGGAGGATGACAAAATCCAAAGCTCACGCTTCACTTGGTTCAAGCTGTCTCTTATACACATCTAGATGTGTATAAGAGACAGGTTTTGACGTGCTCTGATATTCGAAATTTCTTTGTCAATCGTTTTGTTTGCATAACCGTTGTTGACAAGAATTTGTTTGCAGGTTTGGAGTTCAGTTTTCAAGTCTCGAGCAGAGGTACAGGTCTTGATCGCTCGATGTATGAAGGCGCGTATTGTGCTGATTTTGTAGCGCTGGGGACATTCGCTTTCTTGGTTCAGGACCTTTCCAACGTCTGTAGGTTTCCGATAAACTTTAGTGACGAACGAATTATTATCGTCTTGCACCAGGACGTCCAGAAAAGGCAACGTGTGATTTTGTCCAAATTCGTAAGTGAATGTCAAAACGGAATTGCGCTCTAAAGCCGCGCGCAGCTCCATCATGTGAACTTCTTCTCGAACGATGACGAAGATGTCGTCGACGTATCGACAGTAAAGGTCAGGTTTAATTTGTGCATCCAACAACACATGGTTTTCAAGTTCGCACATCTCTAAATAAATAAAAAGTACGCTCTGGTCTTCAATCAAACCTGTATAAATGAAGAACTTCTGCCTAACTACACTAATATATATATATATATATTTTATAGGTACAGCTTTCTCATTTGAATATTCCCAACTTTCCCTAAATTTTGATGGTGTAATGCTCATAACAAGCTAAGGAAGAAAGCCAATTCAGTAAACATACTCAAAAGACTTTGTGAAGCACAGTAAAAATTCCCCTTACAGGATTAAGCATCAATAGGAGTTATTGAAATGTCAGTATTTCAACAGCTCTCAATAGGCACAGGTATCATTAATTGCAATGGAACCATCTCTATTGCTACCTGAGGCGCAAATTTTAGAGATAATTTTATGGCAATGAGAATATTTCAAGAGCTCTTGGAGGATAAAGTATTATTGTTGTACAAAATGATTGATGCCTAAATCACTAGAGATCAATGTTCCTCATCTGTTAAGCCTCAACTTGGAAAAATATCGAGTCACTAGTATAAACACACATCCACATGCCTGTGTCATAATCATATATATAATTTAGGAATAAATATCAGTCCCAGTGTAGGCTATGTCTAAAGCAACTTTGCAATTCATACATGAAATACTTGACTCACATTAAGCTGATGCGAATACGATCCCCAGCTTGACCACCCATCAGCTCCACAGGGATCTGGGTCTCAGGTTTGCTTGTGATCATATTAGGGTCTCTCTGAAGTTGTTAAATGTAAATATAATAGTACCTCAATTTTTGACAGCTGTAAAAATTCTTAACAACTATTTTGAATCAAGAAATTACAGAAAACCAAAATTATGTGATGTTGTCTTTCAAGCAAGTCTAATCATTTTGTGCATATATCCTTTCTAAATAGTAAGGGCAGGACTTTGGATGGATTTTATGTGTTGCTGTAGGTAGTTTATTTTAAAGGCAGTACATCATGGGCCTGTTCACGCCTAATTAAGACCTATTTGAGCCAGTCTGAAACCTCTTGTTTTAACACACCAGCAGTCACCTCCACTGCTCACCACTGTTAAGTCCGCAGCCTTAATGGACATTTGGCTGGAGCTCGAAAAAGAACATTTCACATGACTGATTCATACTTCTTATTCTGGTATGGTATTAATAAACCATTGTTATAGTTTTAATCACCATGCTTAATAATGGTTATGGATGATCCATCCTAATAGTACCTACTACTAGGCTACTAGCTGTCTAGACATTGTTGGCAATTCAGCTAGAGTTGCACTGGAGACTATCTGCAAGGAGTCCAGACTATTGTGGATTTTTAATCACATTTTTTCATGAATTTCCATCAATCATAAACAACATTCAATTTTATTACTAATGGTTCTTGAACTCTTTAAGAAATAGCAACAGTGGTTAACTAGGATTTTTGCAAACTTATCGGCAGCCTAGCATACACTAAAGAAAAAGTTTCTTGAGGAAAAGTTTTTAAAAAATTCAGTACCCATGAGAAATGAAAGACTAATACAGGACATTAAGATGCTTTTTAATAATGCTAACAAAGGCTGGGTGCAAAGGTTAGACTAGATTGAAATGGCTTGCATCATATAACTAGGCTTGAAAGCAGTTTTATAAAGTAAGGTTTAGCTGATTAGTTAGCAACAGACTTAAAATTCATGGCAGAAGGGTTTGTTCCTCAGAATTTGTTTTCTTTTGATTGCTTATAATGCTTTTTGACTGACTCATTCCAGTACCTAACCTTAAGTTTTTATGGGACAAATGCATTTGATTCTCAATCAACCCAATGACCGATTGGGTCAAAAACAGAGAAATTGTTGCAGTTTGAACTTGACCATAAAGAATACAATTACTGTTAATTGGGGTAATTAAAAGAACTTGTACAAATAGATATTGAAATACATTTTTTCCATATGTTATGTTGATCTTTTCTTGCTGAAACATGAATACAACATACCGTAGTGAGTAGGTAGTATTTTTGCACTAACAGTGGATTCTTTAGATAGGTAGTCCTCTCAACAAGAGAGAATAACAGAACACATGACTGCCAAACAATAATGAGCAGCTGGATTGGATGAATTCAAATTCAAATAATAAAACTCTTCTATGAACACTTATTTTAAATATCATTAACACTTTTACGGGTAAGTTACCATATATGATCACTTGAAATCGCGTCACAAAAAGTCTCACCACGGCTTTCTGTTTGTTTTTGAGGCATCCTTATAATGCCTCAGTCAATCACTAATTATCTGACCATCGTTCTATCTATAGCATCATCAGCTGCAAAGTCCACAAATTGAAATATGAGCATTTAAATGAAGGTTTTGACTCGGACAAAGGAATTGACGCTCTTTCCGCATTTTCTTCAAAAGGTGGAAGTATCAATATATATAGTTATTCATTTTGGCAACTTGATTAAATTTAATTATATTAAATTTTTATGTTTCTAATTTTTCATTTGCATAAACTGAATTTTAATTATAAAGAAAAATTTTGTGTACTGATTGCATTTATTGAATTCTTCAAGTGCCATTTAAACCTTCAATAGGCAAAATTTGCAAAAATTCATAGAAATAAATAAATTGTATAATACTTCTTACTTTCTTGAAATGGTTACTGAAATTTTAATTTCTGGATATTTCAATGCTTGCCCGCTAAAGGGTTAAATGCAAAATAAAAAAAAATACTTTGTATGACATGACAGCATAGGAGATTAATACTGGTACTTTGAATTTGTTGATTTTGTTTTCACTGCTCAATTAAAATCAACTTCTCTCTCTTGAAGAAGCAGTGATTTAGCATCAAGGAAAACAACAACAACAACAATATTTATAGGTATATGTAGTAATCATAGTAAGTCATTCCTTGTGTTACAGGCTTTTACTATTATTGTTGTAGATTAATTGTAACCAAGAATGCACTGGGAGGAATATAAATAGGTACCGTTACTCCTAAAGTTCAGATTGGACATGATGCAGGTTAAATCAAGAAATTCATATTAAATATAATCTATTTATTGATGTCAGTGTTCTGTGTATCAATCTCCTTGGGTTTTCAGATTGGTACTTGTATGTTGATGATTATTATTGAGGTGAGTGTTCTACATCTCAATTTCTTTGCAAAAGAATTGTGTTTATTTGTTTATGATTGTTTTGCCCGAGCATGTTTCCAGTAACCCTTTAGCGGGCAAGCATTGAAATATCCAGAAATTAAAATTTCAGAAACCATTTCAAGAAAGTAAGAAGCATTATACAATATATTTATTTCTATGAATTTTTGCGAATTTTGCCTATTGAAGGTTTAAAGCGCACTTGAAGAATTCAATAAATGCAATCAGTACACAAAATTTTTTTTTTAAATTAAAATTCAGTTTATGCAAATGAAAAATTAGAAACGTAAAAATTTAATTTAATTAAATTTAATCAAGTTGCCAAAATAAATAAATACATATATTGATACTTCCACTTTTTGAAGAAAATGCGGAAAGAGCGTCAGTTCCATTGTCCGAGTCAAAAACTTCATTTAAATGCTCATATTTCAATTTGTGGACTTTGCAGTTGGTGATGCTATAGATAGAACGATGGTCAGATAATTAGTGATTGACTGAGGCATTATAAGGATGCCTCAAAAACAAACAGGAAGCCGTGGTGAGGCTTTTTGTGACGCGATTTCAAGTGATCATATATGGTAACTTACCCGTGAAAGGGTTAAGCTCAAAAAGGTATACAATACCCATACGAGAAATTAGTACTTTAACCATTGCTAGGATAATCCTTGAAAATGAACTGAGCCCAGCAATATCAATTGAAGTCTTTGATGAGAAATATATACACGTGTCATTTACTTCCAGATTTTATGAAGCTCATTGATTTTGAAGTTTTAAAATTGATGCATCAATTTATCCAGGAGTAAATAATAACTAATTTACATACTAATTTTTAAAAATATTTATAAAGGCTCTGCTGCTGATGGGGTGTTATGTTGATGCTTATTTTAGATAATAAATTTTTGAACATTGAATATTGTACATGATTAAAATTAAGAATCCAAACATAAAAAGAAACACCAGGTGACAGGGATGGCTATAAAGGGTGTTTACTGTTAGGAATCCATCTTTTTATTTGGCTTTTGAATTATTAACAACATTGAATACCTCCCTGCAACATTTAAAAACTAAGAGATCTCATACATCTGCAAAGTGAATTTCACACAATAAAATAAAATAAATAATTTTCAATCTATGCATAGACAATGAGAAATAATCTTAGCATTATGGCATAATAATAACTTAGTTTGAGTTCTCCTTACCTCCACAAAATATGGCTTTCCCCGATCCTTGTTAGATTCAATCACAGCAAAGGTGCTCTTTTCCCTTCGAGTAGGGCTCTTGAGAAATTCCAATAACTCATCCAAGTTGAATTCCTTGTTGCCTGAAGCCAGGTGGTCACCTTGAAAGACCTCTTCCATCGCAGGATCCATTGGAGCTATATAACTCCCAGTACATAGATCTTGCTTGCAGTCCATAGACTCCATTGTTGTCCACTGAGAAAATGGCAAACAGAAGTTTGAAATAAAAAAAGGTACAAATCTATATCATTCAAGAATTTACATTATAACCTAAAATTTTAGATAAATGTTAATTTTCTACAGGCAATGACATCTTCATTGTAATTGATTAGAATAGTCAGTCCAGATAAAAAAAGTAAAAGCAAAAACATTATGTAAATTCAAAAATTGTGGAAATATAAATGTATTTCCACAATGTTACAAATGCTTAATAACTTGATTGACTATTGAGATGAAAGTTTCTACACAAAATATGCCTCTGGTGGGTTAAAAAATACCATCCAATCCAGCTCAAATGCCATTAGACTCCTGCCTTTGATTACTTTTCTCGCATCGGGACAAGACAAGATGAGACAAGAAGCTTTGTCCCGGTTTGCAATAAAAACTGGGACAATTTTCAGCAGTCAGTGGAAATCCTGGGACAATACCATCATGAGATGAGATGTCTTGGCTAAAATATGAGGTTTAAAATTTCTCAGAATTTATATCTTTCATAATGGGACACGAGACAAACCTCTTAATGACGGGATGTGATTTTGTTTTTAGTTTACAGACACATACAATAACTTGAGACGCATCAATTGATAATTCCGAGCGTGGGCTTGGCTATTTAGATGGTTTTTGCTACATACTGTATCATAATTTTCAAGATGACACATATTCTTGAATAGGCAAATAAAAATTATAATGAAAATAGCATATATATTTTTTTTCATTTGCAATGTTGTACTGTAATGCACATTAAATATATCTTTTCATGATGAGGAGTAAGAAAAATCTTCAATGGTAAAGTCTATAATTTAATCAAGTTTCTGCTAGTTAAGATCCATCAGTTGGAGCACTAGATTGTCCAGCAACAGGGTCTTGAGTGACAGCCCTTGCAATGGATTTATTTCCATTTGGACTCGGGTATCTTGTGATGAGTGGTGCAACACCTGCACCTGCTATGTGACATTTTGTAGTTTTAGAGGTTCTGGAGAAGGCCATACTTGCTGATGACATCGGTTGACTTGATAGACTTATACTCATGGCATCTTACATGACTAGAGAAAAGAAAATCATTCCACTGTCTTCTAATTGTCTGACTTAGTTAGTGACAATGTGTCACTAACTTGCAATGCACAACTTCACTTGTATGGAACGCATGCTGAACTTGCATGATTCTCGCATAAGTCACAATCAAAGGCTAGACAGCAACATTATTCACTCAATATTCAGCCATACATTGCCAAATCTGCCCACATCTTCAAATGACCAGCAACTGCTCATTAACAATTAGAAGCTAACATACTTGTTATTCTTAAATCTGCCTGCTCAGAACATCTTGTTTTGTCTAAAAAATTCAAGGTATGTCTTATCACCTTGCATGAATTCTTGTTTCATTTCTTCCTGTATCATATTGTTTCATGATTGCCGGACACAGGTTTCAAAGTCCGGGACTAATGTCTTGTCCTGGTTCATACATTTAATAAGGGACAAATTTTACACTCTGTCCTGTTATTTTTGTCCCAGTAATTTCTCGTCACATCCCGTTTGTCCCAGTTCATTTTGAGAAAGTTATTCTGAGACACAGGAGTCTAGTTGCCATCATGCCCTGTTCCCAATTTATTCTAGTTTTGACATTCAAAGCTAAAATTTTTTTCAAAAAATCAGTTGATTATAAATAATATTCCTTATTCTTCTACAAAGTATATGCAAGCAAAATCTCACACATGATGACTTTTGTACTAAATTGTACATGATGGATTTTTGTTCAAGTCATAACAGACTCCTAGACCAATTTGGCATATTTGACAGAAGATTCCAAAAATTGAGGGCAAAAACAATCTCTTCACAAGGGATGTTTGAAAATTTTAGGTAAAAATAGCCTTTTATATTTTTCCATGTAGAATTAGGAAAAAGGCCATAGGAAGGGGTAAACTTGGCCAGATTCACAGGCACTTTTGCTCAATTCATGGGTGACTTCAGCAGCCTGCCAAATTTTCCACTTTGCCATTGCCTCCTAGAGAAGTGTTTGCAGCAGCAATGGAATCATAGCATTGGCATTGTAAAAAATGTGTACGGCTGGAAGGAATTTATGCCAAGGCTAAGTGACAAGTCCTGGTGCCATTCTATAGGAAATATAAAAGAAAAAGAGCTTTTGGGAAATTGTGTGAGAAATTATAAATTTATTACCAATTATTTCTTTAATTTCACTGCTAAATATTCTTTCCTACAATCTTCAATAATAATAAAGGTAATCTCATATGATTCATTTCTGGTGCAGTGTGGAGCCCTTAGTACAGCTGTGGGAACAAGTCAATGTCCAAAACTGGACAAACAAGTTTTGCAGATTCATTGATAAGCTGTTCCGAGCGGTGATCGTCACTCTGTGCTACGTTAAAACTACAGTTTTGTGCCATGAACTAATCAATTGGTATCTCCAGAAGCATCATACTGGTCTTTCATTAAGTATTTCTCAAACTAGTATTGCTGGAACCATCTTAATTTTGAATTGGACCCCAGACATCGATCTCCAAGCTACCGGATTTGTCTAAATAAAATTTGAGATTGTTTGCGTAAGGACATTCTGGCTCAAAATTTTTGTGTTGTATCCTATTTACGTTTATTATGTACTTATGTCCAACCAAATTTCACTATTCAATGCTTCTCTTAACTTGAAAATGAATGTTGCTACATTTGAAACGTTGTTAATATATTATTGTTGTGGGAAGCCCATTTCAGTGATACTGCAAGGAAGTAGGATTTCCCTACTAGGGGTCCTGCACACCCCCCTCTCCTGAGATGCAATGTAATGTCATAATACAGGCAAATACGATTCGGTAAGGGCGGTGGCGGAAAACATTGTGCAGTAAAAGTCTATAGAATTAAATGTAATTTTCAAGGTTATAATAACCATGTTATTGGGGTTGATCTCGACTTCTACTCGATGCAGGGTTTTTGTCCAGCAAATGTAATCGAATTTTAAAATTTAATTCAGAACACAAGTGAGCGTGGAAATACCAGGCAGAACAAGGTATACAGACCTGTTACATTAACAGGAATTACATTTTTTCCCCGAATAAAGAGGTGCTTGCGTCTAAACAAAAATAAAGAAATAACATAAAACTCTGCTTGTAACAAAATAAAAATATAATCAACAGAACAATAAAACCTTCCGGAACGCCACTAGCCAAAGAATCAACAAAAATGGGCAATAAAAAGTGTGAAATTTGCTTTAGCATCAATCATGAAACAACATTTTGACATACGTAACAAATAGCGATAGTCAGTGAGATGACCCATAGCATGCCAATGCCACAGCGCAAGTGTGATACCGAGACTGGCATTAAAGATACAGTCTCAAAATATGGCGATGATTCAGTCGGCCTAAGCATGAATTGCTTTTAGGTTAATTAGGCTTATTAGAATATGATTAAATGAGTGCATAATAGATATAAATCAAACTTATTGCTAATAAAATGTTATACGTAGTAAAATAGCAAGATGCAGACGCAGGTTGCGAATACTAAGCACGATATAAGAATGATAAAACAGAAAGCATGCATATTAAAGACCTCAAACTACAGCAAATTAGTTGAGCCAATTGCTTTTGTTTAATAGGAATAAGGCTGTACCCATAGGCTTCAGAAACTAAACAATATAATCAGAATCTTCTAAATTATTGACGCTACCAAATCTATAGATGCAAGTTTCATTTGAATAATTATCCCCATAATATCACATTCCTTATTTCACATATGCATCCAATTAAAAATTCAGTCTAAGCCAAAGAAATGACGGTGGTGCAGTAACAGAAGGAATTTAGTTAATTTAATTTGAGGGTTTGAATTCTAGGACTCGTCCTTTCATGCGAGCAATAATTTGCTTGATGAGCACAAAATCTTGTTCATTGTTCATTTCCCCCAGAAAGCGATATGGCTGAACCTCCGGTGCAACAAGAGGACCTTCAAACTGCTGAACAGCATCAAACTTAGCAGGAAGCGAAACTTCATATTGCCTAACAGGCGGAGCTACCAATGACGCAAGAGGTGGCTCTTCAGCGACCATTTCTTGTTTTTCCGGCAATAGAGGATTTTGCTGAAGGTCGCTTATGGTAAAGATCACCGGATCATCGAAGCAAGAAAGCCTCATGGCCTTCATTGGGGAGCTTGCTATGATCTCTCTCTTGATTTTTTGAGGGCTCATTTGGATCACAGCTGGAGCTTCCCACGTGCCGCTGGGGTTTCCATCCTCTAATTTCACACGCTTGGCTGCTGCCATGCCTCCGTAGAGCGGGCGGCTCTTCTTGCCGGTCTCGCGGTCCAGAGACTTGAACCACAATTCGTGGTCGCGTTTGGGGATCCGACACACACGAATCTTCCAGTCTGATGTCTCCAATGCATTCCTAGAATAAAAACAGAATATCAGGGCAATGAATTCAACATAATGATTGGTCTTGATGTAGATAAAATTAGTATAGTAATGTTGACCAATTCAATTTCAGAAAATACTGACAATATGTTAATTTTTAGCTTTAATAACAGCACCAATTGTTTCAAATTCATTCTCTATCAGGCTAGTTGTAGAAGGAATCTGCGTTGTAACTTAGTTCAAACAGCTGCCATAATAACGTTTTGAAGACTTCATTTTGGAACTCGAACCTCACTGATGACAACAAATGCTTTTATGCTCCTAAGTTAGTTCAGTGTTACCATTTATCCATGATCAAAGTCTTTAAGTAACAAGCAACAGAGTAAAAGCATTTTTTACCTTATTAAACATGGTTTATAACGGCAAGTAAGATATCATTGCCACTAGATCTCATACTCACCATGTGTTATCCAAGTGCTTGAATTGGATGATACGGTCAGAGCACACTTGTGTGCACGAGTTCAGGCACTGCATTGAAAAACTGAACTTGACAGTTTCATTGGCAACAGAGACAATCTCCAAGTCCTGATAGTAAGGGCCTGACTGGTAGCTAGGTGATGGCAGGATCTTCATGTTTCTGGCAGCTTTGATGATGAACATGAACGGATGCTTGGCACAGCGGAGGCTTTCCTCCTGTGAGTCCTCACAATCATATCTGTTTTATGCAGAAGAAAATACAATGTTAATGGCCAAATTTAGAATTTCATTACATCGTTACCAAATTAATTACCTACATTGTTACCTGATTACATTACATCATTACCTGAAAATCAACAATCCACACAGAATGACTCTATTGAACATCCAGTACAGACAAAGCTAATGTAAACATGATTCCACTATTCCAATTTGTCAACAAAACTGGGGGACAAATTTTTTCCACAAATAAAAATATCATATTTACGATGAGAATTTTTAATCTCAATTTGCAAAATGCAATTGATCTATGGAACAATAATGTGCAGTATAAAATACATTTGATGTATCTAGAACATAGGTATATATATATATATACAGGTTTGATTGAAGACCAGAGCGTACTTTTTATTTACGATTTTCTTATTGTTTTTTTCGATAAGCCGAACGAAATTTCTAGCTGGAGCTTGGAGATCAAAAGCAGATTACCGAATGACATTTTAATAGAATGCGACGTTTCGAATATATCAATATTCATTATCAAGCAAGTGAACATACTTGAAACGAGACTTATGTTATGAGAAAAGCTAACACTGTTTGAAATAAACATGTACACCATTCAAACATTTTATTTCCAATCACTGCATTTAATTATTTTCTATATAGTTTTATAATTGTAATTGTTTTTTTTTTCTAGATATAAATTCACATATTTAAAGATTGAAATTAAATATTTTAATTAAAATACTGATATTAGGGTGTAAAATCTTTCTAAATACCTAAAATGTCAATACAATCTCAACCAACCCTTCTTATAAAAGCTAGCTAACACATGTAAATTGTTTAATGCAGTGGTTCCTAAACTTTTTCAGGCTGGCGCCCCCTTTGGCTCCCTAGTGAACTTCTAGCACCCCCACAGACATAGGCCTCTTTCTTGAAATATAGTACACTGCAATTTTAAAAGATAAAGGTTAAACACAAATGTGTATTTCACAAATAGAACCCCATTTAGTGAACCAATATATTTTTCAGCTGTTTTAACTGTTTCAGCACTAGAAACCTAGGACGTTGCAGGCCAATTTATGGCCAGCCTCACAACCGATCTCCAAATTCAGTTATCAAGTAATATCTCCCAAGCTAATGAACGCAGCTCTATGAAACTTGGAACATGTATTCATCAGAACCTAACAGTGATGCTTAGCTTCTAGTTTTTTTTAATTTTACCTTCATTTGTGAGTTACACGTATATTGCAAAACAGGCTGAAATTTGCAGTGATCAATGAATTTCTCTCAAACTATTGAACAGATTTGAACGAAATTTAGAAAATACATTCCTAACTACCAAACGGTGACTTTTCAGCTTTTAATTTTTTTTATCTTATCTTCATTTGTGAGTTTTTTATTCATTTCACCATCATTCTTAATTTCACACTTCCTTATATTCGGCCCGCATCGCCGGGTAATTTGTCACTTAAATTCGCGGCGATCATGAAATACCTTCTAAACTACCTACAGAACAAATTTCAACGATACTTTGTATATAAATACCTAACCTCTTAACAGTGATATTTAGCTTGTGACAAATTTTCTATTTTGCTTTTGTTTGCGAGTTATACAGATATAGGAGGAACGACTGGCTTTTCTACCGGCCAGTTTAACCAAGAGCCTTATACGTATAGCCGCATAACTTGCAAACGAAGACAAAACAAAATTTCTGATTGCTGCAAATTTAAGCACGGATTGCCATTTCAATCACGAATGAAGGTGAAATGAAAAATAATCTCGCAAACAAAGGCACAATCAAAAAAATTTTTCACAAGCTAAACATTACCGTTTGGTAGTTAGGACTGTAAATTCAAAATTTCGTTTGATTCTGTTCAGTAGTTTGGAAGAAATTACTTGATCACATGAATTTCAGCCCATATTGCCATATAACTATGGCAAAAACAAACGATGGCAAAATTCAAACAATTTTCACAAGCAAAATATTATCGTTAGGTCCTAATGAATACGTGTACCAAGTTTCATCAAGTTAAGTTCATTAGTTCAAGAGATATTCCTTTATCATTGAATTTCAAAATTGGCTGTGAGTCCGGCCGTTAATTTGTCCGAGACGTAAACCCAGGAGAGGTTAAAAAACAGATTTGGGTGAAAAAAAACATGGCTGGGAGTATATGTGCTGCACGTGTTGTATACAAATGGTCAAGCAAACGTTCGAACTTCTGACATTGACTTCGGACTACTGTCCTCCTACCACTCTCTCTTTCCTTACCGCCCCCAAAATCTTTCCACCGCCCCTAGGGGGGCGATATCACCCACTTTGGGAACCACTGGTTTAATGTAATTAATATATAACAAATAGCAGGGTTGGTGATTTTTTTGATTTTTTTTTTAAATCAAAAAAATAAAAAATAAATGATTTTTATTAAATGATTTTTCTTATTTATTTGATTGTTTCAGCTTTTTTGTCTTTTTGAAGTGTTATTTTTTATGTTGCAATTGGCCTACTAAATATAACAGTATATGGATCATAATGGATGGCTAAAATGGGCAATTATTGCCTTCAATAATGGCCAACAGGCCAAAGTGGTGTTTACTACTTTGGGATTTTTGGGTAAACAATTATTGATAAGTCTATTCATTAGCTTTGTAAAGTTTGTATGGAGCAAGGTAATGAGCTAAATATTGACCATTTAACTGGCTTCAATATACAAAAACACTTCAGGAATGCAGATCTTCTAAACATTGAAGAGTCACATAACAGATAGGTAGCTGATAGCACAGTGCACAGCACTATTAATAGATCTACTAGTTTTATGTCCTATAAATCTACTAGACTCTACCTTCTATACACACCGACTAGTAGTGACTGAGTGACTGACTGCACTGTTCCCATTTAATTCAGACCAATAAACCAATAGTAAACATCAACTGAATGATAACCAAACAAACCTCATATGACTTGAAATGAGACTTAGTTATGAGAAAGCTAACACTGCTTGAAATAAGCATGTGCACAATTCAAATATTTTATATCCATTCACTGCATTTAATTACTATTTTATATATAGTCTTATAATTGTAATTGTTTTGTTTCTAGTCTTGTCCTTTGTTTGTCACATATTTAAAGATTGAAATTAAATATTTTAACTAGAATACTCTTATTAGGGTGGAAAATCTTCCTAATTGCCTAAAAGGTCAGTACAATCTCAACCTATCAATATACAGGGTGGGGCAGGACTGATTGAGCAGTTTTGAGGTAAAATAAAAGAGTAATGGAGGTACATAAAGAAGAAAGTTTATTTTCCTAGAGGTTAGCATAACATACCATTTA